ACTAATTCAGCACAATCTCTTCATTTCTTCTTGTTTTGGCTCAAATTGGTAAATCTGGTTGCACCGGATTGTGGATTGTGGATTTTGGATTGTGGATTATTGATTGTGGATTATGGATTGTGGATTATGGATTATTGATTGTGGATTATGGAGTGTGGATTGTGGATTATGGATTGTGGTCTATGGATTGTGGATTATGGATTGTGGATTGTGGATTATGGATGGATGGATTGTGGATTATGGATTGTGGATTATGGATTAGGGATTGTGGATTATGGATTGTGGATTGTGGATTATGGATTGTGGATTGTGGACTATGGATTGTGGATTGTGGATTATGATGGATGGATTGTGGATTGTAGATTATGGATTGTGGATTATGGATTGTGGATTATGGATTATTGATTGTGGATTATGGAGTGTGGATTGTGGATTATGGATTGTGGTTTATGGATTGTGGATTATGGATTGTGGATTATGGATGGATGGATTGTGGATTATGGATTAGGGATTGTGGATTATGGATTGTGGATTGTGGATTATGGATTGTGGACTATGGATTGTGGATTATGGATGGATGGATTGTGGATTGTGGATAATGGATTATGGATTATGGATTGTGGATTATGGATGGATGGATTGTGGATTATGGATTGTGGATTATGGATTATGGATTATGGATTGTGGATTATGGATTGTGGATTATGGATTATGGATTGTGGAGGGAACTTCAAGAGGATTTCAAAAGTCTGGACTCGTGATGTTTGGGATCAGTGTCAGGGCCGTCATCGCGCTGACTCAAAACCTGAACTGACTTTGCGCAAACACTGAGTTTATTCTTTATTTTGTAGAGAAAAGAGTTAAAGGTCCCGTATGCTTTGAACCAGGGGTCTCCAACCTGTGGCTCCGGAGATTAACGAAATTATTATCACAAAGACGGACTGTGAACAAGAGCGAAACACCTTTAACGATAAGAGAAAATGTTATGAAGATGTGACGATAGTTTCTGACCCTGAGTTTGTGCTCTGACTGAACCTTGCAGCTGTTCCCCTCGGTCATTTCCTCGACTCAAGGTCACAATAAAGAAGTTTGTGTAAAAGAGGACGAAGGTTCAGCACAGACTGTTCATCGCCAAGACTTTGAACCTCAACATTACACTGCAAAAGAAACAAACATAAAAAATGCTCCAATTTGGCAAAATGTGTCTTAATTTGACACATTCTGACTGAGCCTTAAAACAAGATTCTCCGACGGGACAAAGCAAAATGATCTTGTTTTAAAAAATATACAAGAAATGTCTCTTTTAGAATGAGAAAATAAAGCAACAGTTCTCGAAATGAGACTAAATGCTTTGTCCCGTTGGAGAATACTGCTCTACGACAGAATGTGCTCAAAGAAAGATAAAAAACTACCTCAAATATTATCTTTTGTAGCAGTGTACTTTAATATCCGGTCTTTCTATTTCTGGATGTTGCTTCTTCACAATAAACATATTTTGAGCGGGAAACCATCCAATAAATGGTTAAAAAAAAAATATATATATGTTTCAAACCAAGCTCTCTGATTGGTCTATCTTTGAACCGCTGCTCCCTGCTGACCCCTCGGGTAAATTAGCACCATATTTGGATTTTGTGACACAATCGAAACCACAAAAAGTGAAAAACTGGATTCCTCAGAAAGGCAGAGGGCAACTTACAGTCACACAACGGGCCGAGTTTGGCCCACGGGCCTCAGTTTGGACAGGCCTGGTCTAAAGTCACAGCAGAACCAGTCTCTAATCTTATATGTTTAGAAATAAGGTATGATATAAATAATGGTTTGGTTTAATAATGGCTAAAATACAGAATACTCTCCTCAAATACAGAATACTCTCCTCAAATACAGAATACTCTCCTCAAATACAGAATACTCTCCTCAAATACAGAATACTCTCCTCAAATACAGAATACTCTCCTCAAATACAGAATACTCTCCTCAAACTACTCCAACGATTCCTCCAAAGTCCGGCGGCCATTTTAAATGAACCTTATTTACTTTTCACTTTGACACATCTCCAGGGCCTCGATCCAAACAACCTCCACCGCCGTCATCAAAACACTTCAAATTCTGCTTCAACTCCGTCCAAACGGCGCATAATGATCTGCACCACCTCAGCACCACCTCAGCACCACCTCAGCACCACCTCAGCACCACCTCAGCACCACCTCAGCACCACCTCAGCACCACCTCAGCACCACCTCAGCACCACCTCAGCACCACCTCAGCACCACCTCAGCACCACCTCAGCACCACCGCGGTGGCTCTGAGGCCTTGGAAGAACTCGTGAATGAGACGTGTTTGGAAAAGAGTGTGAGTTTTTCTAAATGCTTCAGAGCTGCAGCAGAAACACCAAACACACGACGACTCTGGGAACGCTGGAGGAGAGCGAGAGCACGAAGATAGGTTTGTTATTGTGGGAAAATGACAGCAAGTTTACCACGCCACGAGCGCGTAACCATGTGGCACGTAACCATGTGGCATGCAGCGCGGCGGTGAATACTGCAGGATCACCGTGCTGTGCTGGAGAGAGAGTTCAGTCTCCGCAGAGGATCCTGGGAGACTGTGTACAGTTAATAATATAAGTCAGTGAACAAATGAGTAGTTGGTCCTTAAAGGGGATGTTAACCTGCTGTGTGAGCCCAGGGGCGGGCAAACCCCGGCTCAAGGGCCAGATGCGGCCCTTTGGATCAGGCCCCTGGGCCCTCCTCAATTTACGTATGTAGATCTCTAGATCATTTTCACATCCATTTTCTTCCTATTTGTTGTTGTCTGGGGGCAGGAGCAGGGGCAGGAGCAGGGGCAGGAGCAGGAGCAGGAGCAGGAGCAGGAGCAGGAGCAGGAGCAGGAGCAGGAGCAGGGGCATGAGCAGGAGCAGGGGCATGAGCAGGAGCAGGAGCAGGAGCAGGAGCAGGAGCAGGGGCAGGAGCAGGGCCAGGAGCAGGAGCAGGAGCAGGAGCAGGGGCAGGAGCAGGAGCAGGAGCAGGAGCAGGAGCAGGGGCAGGAGCAGGAGCAGGAGCAGGAGCAGGAGCAGGAGCAGGAGCAGGGGCATGAGCAGGAGCAGGGGTATGAGCAGGAGCAGGGGCATGAGCAGGAGCAGGAGCAGGAGCAGGAGCAGGGGCAGGAGCAGGAGCAGGGGCAGGAGCAGGGCCAGGAGCAGGAGCAGGAGCAGGAGCAGGGGCAGGAGCAGGGGCAGGAGCAGGAGCAGGAGCAGGGGCAGGAGCAGGGGCAGGAGCAGGAGCAGGAGCAGGGGCAGGAGCAGGAGCAGGAGCAGGAGCAGGGGCATGAGCAGGAGCAGGAGCAGGAGCAGGAGCAGGGGCAGGAGCAGGAGCAGGGGCAGGAGCAGGAGCAGGAGCAGGGGCAGGAGCAGGAGCAGGAGCAGGAGCAGGGGCAGGAGCAGGGGCAGGAGCAGGAGCAGGAGCAGGGGCAGGAGCAGGAGCAGGAGCAGGAGCAGGAGCAGGAGCAGGGGCAGGAGCAGGGGCAGGAGCAGGAGCAGAGGCAGGAGCAGGAGCAGGAGCAGGGGCAGGAGCAGGGGCAGGAGACGGAGCAGGAGCAGGGGCAGGAGCAGGGCCAGGAGCAGGAGCAGGAGCAGGAGTCTGGGCAGAGACACACACACCTCCTCCAGCTCATCTGGGGGAATCCTGAGGCGTTCCCAGGCCTGAGAGAGACCGTATTCAGTACCTCCTGGGTCTTTCCCGGGACCTGCTCCCGGTGGGACATGGAGGCATCCCAAACAGACGCCTGAGCCGCCTCAGCTGCTTCCTCTGGACTTGGAGAGGAACCAGCTGCTCTGCTCTGCAGAGGAAGCTCACGTGGATCGTTTGTATTTGCAATCTCGTCCTTTCGGTCATTACCCAAAGCGTACGACCAGAGGTGAGAGAGGGAACAAAGACTGACTGGTAAATGGAGAGCTTTGACAGCAGACGCTGCTCCCACTTCACTGAAACGGTCCGATACAGCGACCGCATCACTGCCTGATCTGACAATGTCACGCTCCATCATTTCATCTTCATCACAGACTCTAGGTCCTTTTAAACACACTTTAACAAACAAACAGCCTGATCCGTGTCTCCCGGTCCTGGACTGAAAATGAACCTAATATTATTTTATCGTACATTCTTCTTCTGTTCTCTAAACCTAAACATATCCTACATGTGCGTCCCCACCAAAAAATAGTGGATTTTAATATTTGAAAAGAAAACACTGCGTCCCAGACCTCCCGCCAACACCGACACACAACTCTGTCCTAAAGTACGACACCATAATTGTGCGAGTGATTTTTCTAACATTTCAACTTATTTTCCCATTTTTCTACAAAACACAAAAGATTCTCTCTCCACCTGGTTCCATTCTTCCCACGTGTCAAACTCTGCCTTTGTCTTGTCCCCGGCTTCAAACCCGACTCCGAACACAAGAAAATCGACAAAAGAACTCAAACCAAATCAATGTAATTTTCTGTTCATTATATTATGGATCCAGAGAAGAAGAGATGGCGGTGGTTATAGTGAGTGATGAATGGGCCTGTCCAGTCCAATCTGGCTTCTCTCTCTCTCTCTCTCACACAACACAAATGCTGTGTAGAGAAAGCGATGTCATATTTGGTTATTGGGATTGGATAAAGAGACAACGTTGAATAAACTGTGACTAATCATTTCTGACAGGCGCCTGTGTGGCCAGACCGCTGGGGGCCTTTGGAACGGTTAGTCACTTTTAGAATCAGGTTTATTTGTTTTTATGGATGTGCCTATGCATCCATATGTCGCTCTCTGGTCTCTCTCTGGTCTCTCTCTGGTCTCCCTAATCGCTCTCTCTGGTCTCTCTCTGGTCTCGCTCTGGTCTCTCTCCGGCCTCTCTCCGGTCTCTCTCCGGTCTCTCTCTGGTCTCTCTCTGGTCTCTCTCTAGTCTCTCTCCGGTCTCTCTCCGGTCTCTCTCTGGTCTCTCTCCGGTCTCTCTCTCTGGTCTCTCTCTGGTCTCTCTCTAGTCTCTCTCCGGTCTCTCTCTCTGGTCTCTCTCTGGTCTCTCTCTAGTCTCTCTCCGGTCTCTCTCCGGTCTCTCTCTGGTCTCTCTCTGGTCTCGCTCTGGTCTCTCTCCGGCCTCTCTCTGGTCTCTCTCTGGTCTCTCTCCGGTCTCTCTCTCTGGTCTCTCTCTGGTCTCTCTCCGGTCTCTCTCCGGTCTCTCTCTGGTCTCTCTCTGGTCTCTCTCTCTGGTCTCTCTCTTGGTCTCTCTCTCTGGTCTCTCTCTCCGGTCTCTCTCTGGTATCTCTCCGGTCTCTCTCTGGTCTCTCTCTGGTCTCTCCGGTCTCTCTCCGGTCTCTCTCCGGTCTCTCTCTCTGGTCTCTTTCTGGTCTCTCTCTCTGGTCTCTCTCTGGTCTCTCTCTGGTCTCTCTCTGGTCTCTCTCTGGTCTCTCTCTGGTCTCTCTCTGGTCTCTCTCTCTGGTCTCTCTCTGGTCTCTCTCCGGTCTCTCTCTGGTCTCTCTCTAGTCTCTCTCTCTGGTCTCTCTCCGGTCTCTCTCTGGTCTCTCTCTAGTCTCTCTCTCTCTGGTCTCTCTCCGGTCTCTCTCTCTGGTCTCTCTCCGGTCTCTCTCCGGTCTCTCTCCGGTCTCTCTCTCTGGTCTCTTTCTGGTCTCTCTCTCTGGTCTCTCTCTGGTCTCTCTCTGGTCTCTCTCCGGTCTCTCTCCGGTCTCTCTCTCTGGTCTCTCTCTGGTCTCTCTCTCTCTGGTCTCTCTCTCTGGTCTCTCTCTGGTCTCTCTCCGGTCTCTCTCTGGTATCTCTCCGGTCTCTCTCTGGTCTCTCTCTCTAGTCTCTCTCTGGTCTCTCTCTGGTCTCTCTCTGGTCTCTCTCTCTGGTCTCTCTCTGGTCTCTCTCTGGTCTCTCTCTAGTCTCTCTCTCTGGTCTCTCTCCGGTCTCTCTCCGGTCTCTCTCCGGTCTCTCTCTCTGATCTCTTTCTGGTCTCTCTCTCTGGTCTCTCTCTGGTCTCTCTCTGGTCTCTCTCTGGTCTCTCTCTGGTCTCTCTCCGGTCTCTCTCCGGTCTCTCTCTGGTCTCTCTCTGGTTTCTCTCTGGTCTCTCTCTGGTCTCTCTCCGGCCTCTCTCTGGTCTCTCTCTGGTCTCTCTCTCTGGTCTCTCTCTGGTCTCTCTCTGGTCTCTCTTTAGTCTCTCTCTGGTCTCTCTCTGGTCTCTCTCTGGTCTCTCTCTGGTCTCTCTCTCTCTGGTCTCTCTCTCTGGTCTCTCTCTGGTCTCTCTCTCTGGTCTCTCTCCGGTCTCTCTCCGGTCTCTCTCTCTGGTCTCTTTCTGGTCTCTCTCTGGTCTCTCTCTCTGGTCTCTCTCTCTGGTCTCTCTCTGGTCTCTCTCTCTCTGGTCTCTCTCTGGTCTCTCTCCGGTCTCTCTCTGGTCTCTCTCCTGTCTCTCTCTCTGGTCTCTCTCTGGTCTCTCTCTGGTCTCTCTCTGGTCTCTCTCTGGTCTCTCTCTCTGGTCTCTCTCTGGTCTCTCTCTCTGGTCTCTCGCTGGTCTCTCTTTCTTTATGTAGCGTCTTTCACAAAACGCTTTAGAAGTGATTCACCGTCGAATAATGAAATGGTTTAAAATCATAATGTTTCATGAACCGAGGTCGGCCTCTGTTGGGTCCATCACATACTTGGTCGCCTGTCGCTGAGGCGTCAGAGGCAGTGGTCTCCATGGTAACAGGACCCATCTCCACATGTTGAACAACACAAACTGTTGGACATAAACGCTCTGAGGAAGTAAGTTGTCCAAACAAAGGTTATAAGTGTCTGAAGAACCAAAAAACTGGATCTACCAAAAAGACTGAAACAGCTGAACACACTGCAAAAAGTCAAATTTGATTAATAATAATAAATCAAGTACCTCATATTTTATCATTTCTTTGCAATGCATGTTTTTGAGTGGTAGTGGAAACTGGAGCACCTGGAGGAAACCTACGCGGACACAAGTGGAACATACAAACTTCACACGCAGAAAGGCCCTGTTCTGAGCGGGATTCGACCCCAGAGAGCGAGGCGAGCTTATGGCCCAAATATGTGGATTTATAGGAAACTGATTCATATCAAAAGAAGAAGAAAAAAGTTCAGGATGACAAAGAACAATAAACTCCTCCTCTGTGGAAGCTGTGGGTCCTTCCCAAGCCCCGCTGATCCAAGATGGCGTCCTGTTCAAAGGAACGGCTTGTGCTCAGTGGTTCATGGGACTTCACAGAGACCGGTAGATTAGCAGAACTCGTCCATATTTGGGCTTCGTCTGGTCCTCCCGGTTCTGCGCAGTGGACGAGCTCCCATGATGCTTTGCGCCAAATACGTGTGTGGCTCTCATGCACGTGCTCAGAGGGGCTCAGCCACGCTCTGACCAATCAGAGGGCAGCGCTCTGACCAATCAGAGCTGATCAGAGCAGCAGCAGAGCGGAGTCAGAGCGGGAAGGCAGGGTGCAAAGTTTGTGGCAGTAAAGTGTGGATTTAAAGACCGAAACCGAAGGATTTAAGAAGAAAAAAAGTTCAAGACGACAAGGGACACTAAAATCCCCACAAAATCTTATCTTTATGAAAGCTGTAGGTTCTCTGTCAGGTTCTCTGTCAGGTTCTCTGTAGGTTCTCTGTCAGGTTCTCTGTAGGTTCTCTGTCAGGTTCTCTGTTGTGAATTTAGTCTGCAGTACCACAGCGCCCCCTGTGGCCATGGGTGGGACAGCTGTAAGCTAGTAATACCCTATCCAGTTATTATTATAGATCCATGGTTCCCTGTCAGCTGACGGCTAACGATAACGGCTAACGCTAACAGCTAGCACTAACCCTGACCATTTTAGCTCACATTGAAGTCTATTTTCTTTATACTTTTCTTTCTTTATTCTTAGCTCTGAGGTCTGTGTTTTCATGTGAGTCTATCTATCCATCTTGTCCATGTGGAGACAGACGCACAAATCAATCAACCAATTAAAACGCACACAACACATACACGACTTGGGCATAGAACCAAATGTGGGTCAGAGCCGACAGACGCACAGCGGTTTATGCAAGAATATGAAATGATCTGAACGCCGCACACACATGAAAGCCTCGTCAGGGGCCTGGACGGGGATCCCGGCTGTCGGATTGTCTCCTTATATTATCTGTTTAATGTAATAATTTAGACTCCTTTCAGTATTTCGTTAGCACAGGGACTATAAGGCTTGAGCAGAGGAAGAGGAGGAGCTGTAGGAAAGAGGCTAATGTGGTCCGCTCACTAATCCTCTCCTCTGCGTGGCCCAGCGGTTTTTATTTATTCATTTTTTATTTTTTTCCAACCCATTTCAGTTTCAATCCTCTGTGTAGACTTTTGGGTTCCACTGGAGAGGACTTAGTGAACACGGGATCACGCACATGTGGCTGCGGTTCACATCGGGCAGAGGCGTGTGGTTGTCCCGAGCAGGTGAGTGTGTGAGATTGGTGTTTTATCAGAAGCAAAGGATGTGAGATTTTTAAATACAGTGTGTTCTTATAAACAGCTGCTTCTACCACTGGTCTGTAACAGCGGGACGATGGCTCCTTCTAGTGGCAGAGATCCAATCAGGAGATACCAAACATACACAGAAGATAAAGGATTCAGCCCAAGAGTAGGATTCAAAATACTCCGGTCTCTCTCTGGTCTCTCTCTGGTCTCTCTCTGGTCTCTCTCTGGTGCCTCTCTGGTCTCTCTCTGGTGCCTCTCTGGTCTCTCTCTGGTCTCTCTCTGGTGCCTCTCTGGTCTCTTTCTAGTCTCTCTCATCAGAAATGTAAATAGTTTATGCACAAGTCTCTCCATGGCCTCGCACCAAAGTACATCTGTGACATGTTAGAGCCATCAGGGACCTCCTGCTGGGACTCTGAGGAGCACAGGGACTGGCCTCCTGCTGGGACTCTGAGGAGCACAGGGACTGGCCTCCTGCTGGGACTCTGAGGAGCACAGGGACTGGCCTCCTATGGGACTCTGAGGAGCACATGGACTGGCCTCCTGCTGGGACTCTGAGTCAGGACTAAACATGAGAAGGCAGCGTTTCAGATTCATGCAGCTAAAATCTGGAACAATCTTCCTGAAAATCCAGGTTAAAAACAGCACTTTTGAGTTTTTTGTATGGACTGTGCTATACAGATAAACTTACATTACCTGTAGATCCATCTCCTTGGGTCTGCATGTTCCTAATCTAATCGATGACATATGTGCATCTGCTGTCACAAATATCAAAAAGTAAATTGTGATCTGAAGTGGTCTGGATAAACAGGTCCACTGCAAAATGTCATCCCAACAAAGCGCAGACATAGCAGCAGACCACGGCCGCTTCTTCACCTGCATCCGAGCCAAAATGCCTGCTTTACACAGCCCGGTCCCACAGGTGTATTATTATGTGTATGTGCCCTTTACAGAGGCCTTTCTCTGGTTTATGAACTCTCCTGCTCATTCCTGATGCATTGTGGGGGAAAGAATGAATGAATATTGCTGAAATGAACTCAAAATAAAAATAGAAAGATACGCATTTTCAAACAGGTTGCTCCAAAACAGCCGTGTAAGTGCCCTGTAATCCAATATGCTTCTGAATGCGAGATTGCAGACGATTAAACAGCCAAAAATCAAACAATGAAGAAATAATAGGAATAAAAATAAAATAAATCTCTGCTTTTGTGCTGCTGGTTTGGGATTCGAAAATAAGAGCCAGATTTGACCAGATACACAATGTTCCCAATCCAATT